TGCATGCATACTGAGACGTGTCTGTAATCTTGCGGTAATCGGGACACGTACGTTGAACAGTTGTTGTCATCCGAAGCGCGACGTCGCTGATTTCGAGATGGAAAATTAATGAATTAATTAGCAGGCTGCTATGCCCGTGCACGTGAATGTGAGAAAATGATTCGTTCGGTCGTAGCCGCATACGAAAGTAATTTCACGAAGAGATTACTTTTGAATTGGACAACTCTCGCACAAATGGAATTCTTTTAACGCCACAGTAAATATCTGCTCTGCCTGATCGTTTCCTTGCGCGCGCTGCCTGTTCGCCTAAGTGCAGCGTAGATTGAAGCTTGGCTTATTTCCTGATATAACGATAAGACATTACAAAGTAAAATGCCTTCGCATAAAAATTTATCGCAATATCGAAACATAATAATGCCTGTTTTCTTTTTTAACGGGAAGATATTAGTTTACATTTTTGTGAAATAGCATGCCGTGCAGAGAATTTTCTTCCTGGACGTCTCGCTTCGTAGATTTAATAAATGAGTCGCTACAAGGATTACGACAGTCTTTAATTTCAAGAGGTTCAATTATAAAAAACCTAGATCATGTAAAGATATAAGATTGTGACGATTTAAAATTATTACGAATAAAAACTTTATCGTTTCTTATATCTTTTAAGATACACGGAAATTTATGTTATAGCTTTCCACATGGTCGATTTAATTATTAATTTACTGAAGATCACTTAACTGACGATACGATCTGAGGCTTTCCATAACATACGTAGAAAGTATCATGAGAGCTATCGATAACGAGAAATACGGCCTATCGATCCGCAATTTCTTTAAACGGCGGACGATGTTCGGCGAGAAGATTCAAATCCGTGTCGCTATCGATCTGAACTCCGCGGCGGACAAAGTGCAACCCCTTCGTTCTACAGCGAACGATACGACGTCGAATCGTCACGAGGAAATTCGTTACTTTGACGATCGTTCCCATCGAAGCTCTTTCTAACGGCGCACAATGAAATGAATCACGTTGCCGTTGTAGGCAATCGTTTGCGATTCATTTAACTTGCTAAGAGATTCCTTCCGGAAACGTTATGGTGCGTTACGAGTGCCATCCAGGAGAGGAAATTTTCTCGAAAAAGATCCATTTTCGGGAAAGACGTGCCGTCGTAGTTGAACACAGCTCGCGTATTCTCGTCGCGCTCTTCTTGCCCGAGCCCGTCGTCGACTAGCGATCGTTAACACTCTCATAATCATTGTCGCCGGTTGAGCATCATGAAACCAAATGGCGTGCATACCGGACTATCGGACCATTCAGCATTGTTTACGACGTTTCTCCTCAATTTTGTACACAAGTACTCGCGCAGAAGTTCTGTTTGTTACGGTATTTATTATGTAATTAAATCTGGGATATTCTTACGATTAAAAGAACACGTGATAATTTAATAAATAAACATCAATCGACATACGTGTAATGTAGAATAAATAAATATTTTCTATTATGCGAGAGGTATAATAATAATTGTGTGAATTTTATACATTCCCTCTTTATGCTTGTTGTTCCCTGTCCCGATTGGTGCTTTAAAATTGCATTTAAAGATTAAAAATGTCAATATTTATGAACTCAAAAATATATGTATAAGTATAAGTTAAAATAGTTTCGTAATTTTTACTATTTTTAACATAAAAAATTATAAAATAAAATTTAGGAGTTGAAAGAAAGTATAAATATACATAATAGTACAAAATAATAGTATAAACAATTACTATAACGAAAGAAATGAAAGAATAATAAAGAAATCGAGTGAACACCTAGGAATACACAAATATAATTCCCCGTGAGATTAGTAAGTAAACTTAAATCAAGTTTTCGTCACACAGTTTCATTAGAATTTGTATTTCACGATTAACATGAGTTCAACCAAAATCAATTTTGAGATGGTAATCAAGTTTTGTAACTATTCAAATATCAGTAACTGCTAAATAATTAGCCCGTGATTAAGTTTAAATTATGAATAAATATTCTAAAAAGACGCCCTCTCGTTTCTACGAGGCTTTTCAGCCTTGTTCACCTCTGCAGGCGCAACCCTGGCACGCAGATCATGCGTGGCACGCAATCTGCATAATCCACAGGTCGGAACAATGGCACCGTAGGTGCGTAAGAATGTTCAAAAAAGCGGAGCGCTGATGAAAGAAAGCTCACCGCATGCATGAGCCCGGTAATGTCCCATACCGTCGCCGTTATGCGTTTCGGTGACGGAAGCGGGGCTGACGGAAGGGTAGCAAAAAGACTCGCCCCTCGCCGCAGGGACAAGAACCACCTCCAAGATATTCGAGCAATTTCAGCCGTAGGAATATTCATGAACGATGCCGCGGTTGCTGGCTATACTGTTCCGCTTCTATTCACTCGACAGACGGCCCGGTCGAGGTCAGAAGACTTGCTTTACGAAGCAGGAAATCTGTGCAGATGAGCCGAGGCCGTCTAGAGAGAGAGAGAAAAAAAAGATCGGGGGCATGATTTCCGTGGAGTGGAAAATGAGCCCAGAGGGAGGAGGTCGTCACCGGGGTTAAGCAGTGACGTCCGCGCTTCAATTAGCTGAAGTGCGTGGATTAAAGACCGGATAATACCGTGCAATTTGTTGTAGTAACTGTCTGTTGGCCAATCGCTTTGAGAACTCGAATGAAATGTGCGAAATAATTCAAACAAAGGAATAAACAGAGGATAATAACTTTTTTCATACACTATGTAGTACGGCGCGTCAAAGACATGCTAGATGATGTTTTTAAATATTCTGTGTGGACATACACAATTTTTTTAATTGTATATTAATACACATCTAATTGCTTGATTATGAAAAAAAAATACTGCTTCTCTCAGAGAGAGAGAGAGAGAGAGAGAGAGAGAGAGAAAGAGAAAAAAACACGAAAAAATAAATTAACTGAATTATGCGACTTGCTACTCTTTTAATTCACTATTTCAATCACTCGGAGTACGCTTTAATCCAGCCGTAAAGAAAAACTTAAGAACATTTGCGATACCGTCTGAAACATTGAATCTTGTTCCTGCATAATTTATTTCGCAATGAGAAGCGCCTCGCCTCGTCCAATCCGGATGGGAATCTTTTTTTGTTAAAGTGAAGAAAGTCAAGAAAATCTTGTTTCGTTCCGACTCCCTTGTCCGATTTTTCCACCCGCAAGCGCTAACTCGCGAAGCCGAAACTCTATCGACGAACCTCTCGTAGTCGGCGACAAGAGGAAATTCGAACGGTAGTGCGAGACAATTTGCGGAATCGCGATCGCCTTGAGGCTGGGAAATCGAAAACCCATGATTGCAATTTGCGCGCGCGAACACTCTGCACGTCGCGGTAACGTGGCTGAGGGCTGGTCGCATTGTCGTGCGATGTGCCAAGTTTCTGCGTTTCGATCGCGTTGCACGTCTCCTTGGATTTCGAAGGTGTCTCAAGACGCCACGTAAATCAGCGATGCTATAAACCGTTCCATTAAACCGTTGTTCTAATTTATTGTCAGATCAGTCTTGATTCTTGAAAACAATCGTGATTATAAAAAAAAAGAAGGGACACAAAAATTTAAAAAATTATTATTCTTGGAATTAATTCTGGACAATTTAACATTTTTAACTGCTCTATCCGCAAATAAGAGGTGAGGCGGGTATTACATAACACCCTGTATATGGTCAGCAACCACTAAACAAGTTTTCATTGTTAACGAGGCACAAGACATCGAACATAAGAGGGCGATAAAGAGGCGGGTATTACATAACGCCCTGTATATGGTCACCAACCACTAAACAAGTTTTCATTGTTAACGAGAGGCACAAGACATCTAACAGAAGAGAGCGATAGACGTCGGCGAGGTGACAGTAGGTGCTAATCGACGACCCCCTCCAGATCGTTTCTTACGCCGGAAGTGTCAACGAAGATCAAATTTACGGCCGGGAACGGGTTCAGCAGGAGTCACCGGATCCCGATCGTACATTTCGGTTCTAGAACTTTTTAGAAATTTATCACGTCACAGTAATATCTATCACCTCGCTGACGCGTCTGCCAGACAGATGAGAAACAAGTCTACTTTCGATAACACGATCCATCTAATAATATTTAACCGTTCTATGTTACGCAATAAAGGGACAGTAGATATGTCTCGCGATTTATTGCATGTAGCATTGACGAGTTATGATTTCCACATATTTTAAACGTTTGAAAGAGTTATTTAACGATCACGAGTTTATACATCTCGAACGTTTTCTATGCTTTCATACACTCTCGCTATTCTCTTGTTCAAAGAACCGAAAGATCTTGAAGAATGCCTGTCTTATGTGAGAAAATTATGAAAAATATATAACGTAAACATACCCGGTATCTGTCATCACGACATCGTTTGTCTTTCGTTAATAGCTTTTATCTCAGTCCATTAGCCTACATTTACGCTTTATATCACTCAATCGGAAAATCCATGTAACGATCTTTATGTAAACGTTGCTGATCTAATTCACGGAAAATTTTGCCTTCGCGTGCATTAAATATTGCGTTGACTTTGCTTAAACTTGGTATTTTCGCGTCATCCGTCAAAATACCCATCAATAATCATTTAAGGAAAAAATAAAGATAGATCGCGGGCTCGTAAAAACGACGACGAAATTTACAATGCGCTCTATCAGCCGACGACTAGCCGTCCGCGAGTGTTAACACGCCAGGAGCACCGACGACAGTGACGCATGTGCCGAAAAAGCACTATAAAAGACACTCGCGCCCGGCAATTGTAATAATCGGATGCACGCTTCCCGCAATTGAAATAAAATCGCAGAATACGCCCCGCGTTAGCGGACCATTTGGATGGAAATTCACGTCGTTAATAAGGTACAAAGCTCTTAGCAAACGCAAAAAGCGCCTACCGCGCCGACGGAGGGTAAGATTTACGACCACAGCGGGGAGGGCTCGCTGCGCTGGTTCGACAAAAGTTAACCGTTTTTCCCGTTTACTCTCGTTGCAGGGCCACCCATGGTTCATCCGCCGAGTCAAACTGTAACGGCAAACGAGGGCGAGCCCCTGGACATCATCGTCGAGTTCTGCGCCCGGCCGAGTTACACGAAGGTTCTCTGGGTATCGGAGGAGCGAGTGTATACGCCGGATGCACCCTCCCGCGACGGGGTTCGAGCCCTCGCAATTGAGGTAAATTTGCATGTCTCGCTGTATCAAACACTGCTCGCGTGCTTGTGCCGCCTTTATACGGTTTCTCCACTTGCGCGAGGACGCCCATGAAATTCATGGATTACATAAATACACTTCATCTCGGAAATTATGTCAGCTCGATAATTTGCAATTCATGCTCGAGTCCACTAGCGCCACGTCGCGTACTTATCAGAGATACTAGTCAAATAATTTTTTTAATAACAAATCAGACACGCATTGTGTGTTAAATGCATTTCCGAACAAAAAATTAATTGAAAGCATAAAGAAGAAGCAGATGTTAGTTTCAGCAGGAGTTCAACGGCGAACGACGTACGCAAAAACAAATTTTTTTATCGCCTCGAAATAATTACAACTTGCATAATCTGATCGTTTCGCTTTTCTCCATGAAATCGTACATTTTTATTCTCGTGTACTTGCGAGTAAACTAATTATTGTTCTTTTCAAGCCACCCTTCAACGGTCGCATTTCCATTTTGCCAGGGGAAAAATAATTACAAATAACAAATACAGAAATTGCGAGCTTCACTTTACGTATAAGTAAACAACAAATAATATGTAACAGAATTGCGTAAGGAGCACGGTTGATCACGTATTCACAGTTTGTAAATATTTGTCAGCCATATTGTAGCAATATTTAGCGGTTTAGTGTGATACATTATTTATATGAATATTCCTTATTCACATAAAATCATGCAGCGTATGTTTCGTCGCGGTGTTTGAAACAACTAATTAATATTTCTATCAATCGTCGATGTAATTACATGCATTATAATTACGTACATTAACGAAGGCCGCGTCGCTTTTACTTGCTTATCGATTCCGGCGGGTCTCTCGTTGCAAAACTGGATGAAATGGCGGAATTTTATTAAAAGGCACGATCTGATTTACTCTGTTTTGCGCGGGTGCTTCTCTCTCTTTCTCCCTCTTTTTTTTCGGCAATCTCGTGCTCTCGTGCGCTGTAAAAGTGCCGCGCAAAAATGCAATTCGCGCGTCCGCTGAAAATCCGTTGTCTTTTGTAACACGGGGATGACGCTCGGGGATTACACGCTCCCCCGGGGGAGGCGTGGTTGGTCCTTCGACGCGAAAATTATACCGCTATCCCGGCGCGGACGTTCGCGCGATATCCGGAGGTATTGCGAGGCGACGCGACTCGACGGAGCGGAGGGAGAGGAGGCTGTGCCGAGAGGGCCGGAACGGCCGCGCGCTCGCCTTTCGCTCGCGAGAAGAGCGGCGAGATGAAAGGGTGCGCGGGGGAATGTGTGCAGGCTGGTGCGCGCGTATGCATATACACGCGCTTATTTCATTTCCACAGCCGGCGCACTTCTTTTTCCGCCCGAGCGGAGACGGAATCCGCGCGCGAGCGTGCGCGCGCGCGTGGAGGTAGTCGCATCATAAAGGACGGATTAACCATTTTTCCAGGAGTGCCGGGCGGACGCGGACAATGCGACGGAGCTTTGCGAGGGATTTGCCGATGCACCCGGTGTTGCGTTTGTTTTTATTAACGTTTGATCCTCTTCGCTATGTGAGCGCGATAGAGACTCGCGCGCGCGGTCCGATTTCGCGGTGCGAGTAACGATTGGCTCGGTCGATTCCATTGAAAATTGCGGACTTTATTGGGAAGCGTGCGACGATGCGAGCGCGATGTTACTGCCCGTGTTTACATTACTGTAGCGGCGTATCTCGCGTTCGTAGATAATATTTGTGAGCTGCATCTTATACGGATTACAGTATCGGCGCGCACTGCTCCCCGCAGCGTTGGACTTTAAATAACGCGTGGCGAACGTGAAACGAGCATCGACGTCGCGAGCGATTTGTGCAAAAAAATAACGCGTATTTAGGGAAATGATACAAAAAAAAATGTAATTACGATTTCCGACTGGCGTAGTTTCTTTCAACGAATATTACGATAATATTATCGGACATTATAGATGCTTTCGAGAATATACTTCGTATGCAAAATATTTTCATAGCGTCGCTTACGTATCGATCTTCTTTTCACGATACTACTCTACTGAAGGCTATTACGTATCGTATGAGGCTGCTGAAAAACTTGTGCATAGCATTGAAAGGTGATTTTATTGCTGAATCGTGAAAACTGCAGATACAAAACAAAGTCTGTCGCAAAACCGATAAAAAAAATTACATATTTAATCAACAAAATGATTCAGTCAAATTATTTTTGTTTCATTCTACAAAATGGGTCTCTCAGTGTATAAACTAAACTCTCCAAAGAAGTTGCAATTATATTAAAAGAAAAGAATTTAAAGATGAGATCGAAGGTGCGGTACATAGCCAAAGTTGCTAGGGTAAATAAAAACATTTAAACTATAAAGGAGAAAAGAAAATCAGGAGAAATGACATATCATAAAGTAAAAAGTACGTTAAACGCGTTAATAGATAAGGATAGTAGAAAATAGAAAGAGAGTAAAAAGAAATTAGACGTAAAAGAAGCACGGATGAAACGGGGAGACGGAAGTTTACAAAGAGAATAGGTTAATGGAAGATAGAGAAGCGGTGGAAAACCTCGATAGAAAAAACTCGGACGGGCAAAGTAGAATACGTTAGTAAAGGAATACTGAGTAAGGTAAGGAAAACGAATGGCGAGATAGTTTGAGAGGGAAGAGGATAAATGAAAGCCAGAAAGTTAGAATGCCTTAGCGGAGAAAGTTTGAGCAAACTGCAGAGGGAAAGAAAGAACGAGAGGAGAAAAGGATGAGGTTGAGAGGAAGGACAGGCGACAGCGAAACCAACGTGATAGCGTGGTAGAAAAGACGGAAAGATGCAAGGAGATGGGACAAGATGACAACAACGCGAAGAGGAAAACGGGGGAGGAAGCGAGCGAGACGCGGGATGATTTTGCGAAAGAGGGGGTGCGAAAAAGAAAGTGGAACGATGCGGGCAGGGCTCGTGAATAAAGGATGCAAAAAGAAAACGGGTCGACGGATGAGGAGCGCGCGGGCCTCCGTTGTGCCGAGAGGGATGGAGGTCGAGGGACGGGGAGGAGGCCGAAACGCGGGGTGAAATGGAGCAAGAAACTGCCGATTCCTTGCATGTGAAAAACTGGCGAGACCCCCTGCTACGACAACGACGACTCCGCCCGTCTGCTACGAATCGCGACGACGAGATATATCGCCGTGAGACGACATCAGTTTTGCCGACGAACAGCACGAGTTTGTGATTCAATTACGTTATTCTTCCCCGTCCGCGTTATCGATAAAGTGGACGCGCGGGGGGAGGGGGAGGACTCTGTTGCCTCGATATTAAAAAGTCACAATGACGCCGCGTATATTCGATCGGCTCTGTGCGACCAAAGCGGTGATGTCTTTCACTATACGCGTTCTGGTTGTGTACGAGAATAAGATCGAGAGCAAAAGTGTCACGTAATATTATGATGCCTTCAATGTCGCAGTAGCGGAAAAATATTAAGTGCACTAGCACCCGATATTTTACGATATTATTATAAATAATTTAAAAGTTGATAAGGGATAAATGTTTTATATCTTGGTACGTAGCGTGTGTTTTGTTTCGTCAATGTCATATCACAGATTTTCATGTAGTTCGAGTAATAACAAGTTACACAGTAACTTGAGACAGTGCAAATTCTAATTATTTGAAGCATATAATATTAAACAATTTAAGATAAAGTTCTTCTATTAGATCGGCAATGTATACAGGGTGAGACATTTAACTTACACACCTCGAAAAACTTGCAGATTACAAGTTGTACAAAACATTGTTACATACAAAAGTTGCGTGACTTTGAGGGAGTCATTACATAGTATACACATTTTTTTATAAGTGGAGACGCTTAAAAAATTTCAAGGTTAACTTGGTTTTTTAAATGAAACACCCTATTGTTTATTGTATTATCTTTTTCTATTAATTAATTTGAATATTTTTGTCTGAAACATTTTTCTATTTGCCTCATATCTTTTGAGATATTCGAGGAAAGAAAAAGTAACGAGGAGTTGGAGATGTAATATTTAA